TTTCTTATAGCTCTGGTTAGATAAACAAGACAGTATCAGCAGGGATTTCTCTCTTTGGCTTGCGGATGGCTAATTTCTCCCTTTCTTTTCACATGGTCTTTTTCTGTACCTGTCTGTGTCCTAATTCCCTCTTTTTATAATGACCTTTGACAGAATGAATTGGGACTTACCCTACTGACCTCATTTTAACTTTTACTTTAAAGATTCTGTCTTTAAATATAGTAACATTCTGTGGCACTGAGAGTAAGGACTTCAACATATGAATTGGGTATAGATCACATTCCGCCCATCACAATCTCATACAAATATTTTGAAGTCAGGGAGAGAAAGAGGCTTCAGTATGAAAGAAAGGGAGATAACCAGGAGTGACTGTGGTAGAAGAGAGAACACTCACTATTGTAAGAATTATCTAAATTCAGACAGTAAATTAGCAGATTAAGTTGACCTTGATGATTTCTTCTATCACTAAGGAATTAGTTAGGTGAATGTATTGGAAAGTTCGGAGATCTCAGTACTGAGTGTGGTATTTTCCTTATCACTACAACATTTCCTGAGTTTCAAATTCTGTTTATACAGATCATGCATGTAGATAGGTTTGAAGTATGTGGGTTCTCACATCAAATCATGAATAACAGCTTCATTCAAAATACTGCAAAATCTGGGCATGATAAAGTACCTGGTACCTAAAACAGGAGAGTTGTAAGTTCAAAGCTGGCCTCAGCAACTTAGCGAGCACCTAAGCTACTTAGTGAGACACTGTCTCAAAATAAAAAATAAAAAAGGATGGGGATGTGGATCAGTGGCAAAATAATAAAATAAAATAAAACCTACAAGGAATTGGGGATATAGCAGCATTAGTGCCAGGCAACTGTACAACCCAGGTCAAGTGAAGAGGCATTTTCCACATCTGCCTGAAAGGGAGAATACCCTCAGCAAAATAAAGAGTCCATATAACATAGTGCTACTTCAGGACCTCAAGGAATCTAAATGAATGTGGCAGCTGGCTTTGGAGAAGATCTGCCCTGGGAAATGGCTACTGCAGTAATGGACAGAAGCTGCAACAATGCATGGAAAAAATCCATACGAAATCAGATTCATTTGTGGAGGTAATTTGCTTGCTCATTTTTTTTATTAGTTGTTCAAAACATTACATAGCTCTTGACATATCATATTTCATACATTTGATTCAAGTGGATTATGAATTCCCATTTTTCCCCGTATACAGATTGCAGAATCACATCAGTTACACATCCACGCTTTTACATACTACCATACTAGTGTCTGCAATGGTGAACTTCACAGAAGGGACTCAAAGCAGGCAAGAAAAGAGAACATGAGGATGGCTGCCTGGCCTTGTTATTAAGCATGCATGATACTCACATGTATCGGCTTTCAGAAATAACTGGGAAGTTGGTGGGACATAGGTTCCCACAATAACTACTGTATCAAGAAACAGTCTAATATGGACTATGGCTTCCTTCATTTGTTTGTATGATTTAATGAGGGTATGAATTAAAGGATAAGAAAAAATAGCATACGAGGATATGTCTTTATATAAGAAATACTAATTTATTTTCCCAAATATGAATGAAGAGCTTGATATGTTTGATAGAGGCTGATAAACAAGGAAGAACAGATATTGGCCTTGATTTATAACAAACTCATGTTCTGCTCAGGTATGCATAGTCCTTTAAGAGGCCTAACCAGACATGTTTAATGAGTATAATATGCTGAAAAAAAGTATAAGACACCTTTAAAATTAGCATAAAAGAAAATGAACATTAATAGCTACTACAAAATTGCCCCTGAACATGAGAGCTATAATTTTACATCAGAAATAAAAGGTTAACTATTTCTTATTGGAAGTAAACACATACATATATGTGTCTGTGTCTCAAAATTCCTATCTTGGATAACATTACAATAAAGCAAATTCACAGTTCTAAATATAGAATGTATATCTTGTTTGTATAATTTTTATGCAAACATGTTTATGATATTAATCTCTTCAAAAAGAAATATTTTTCTGAAGACAAACCTTAGGACATTAAACATAAGTAAATGTAGTCTGAGAATGTTACTGTGAACATGAAAAAAATCCAGATTTCTGGAGTCATTTTTAGCTTAGTGGTGTATGATTATTTCAAATTGGCAAATCCATTATTAGAAATCTATAGCATATAGTGAAGTTTTTTTTTTAAAGAGAGAGAGAGAGAGGAGAGAGAGAGAGAGAGAATTTTTAATATTTATTTTTCAGTTCTCAGCGGACACAACATCTTTGTTGGTATGTGGTACTGAGGTTCGAACCCGGGTTGCACGCATGCCAGGCGAGCGCGCTACCGCTTGAGCCACATCCCCAGCCCTATAGTGAAGTTTTATGTGCAAGTAATATTTCCTTTTCTTTATACTGAGGCAGAAACTCCCAATACTCTTCTTCCTATTCCCTTCATATTGGAGATGACAGTCAAAAGCCACATCCTTCTATTCCCACTTGTTTTTTTTATAGATAAACACATGGCTCAACTTAGACCAATCAGACTTTTTCCTCTGTTTTTTTTTTTTTTTGGTAAGGCAAACTGGCATAAAAGTGTTCTCTTTCTGTTCATTAGGATGTATTGCATAAAAATCATAAAGTGTACATGTCAGTGATCTTGGATTTATGGAAATAGTGACCCAAGAGAATGAAAGCAAAACAGGGAGAAGTGTTGATGAAAATCAAAGAAAGAAAGAGAAGGGGGGAAATAGGATGAATACAGATTCCCTGTAAAAGCAAGCGGTTTGATGACTTTTACCTCTCTGCATCCAGTCAATAATAAAATCAGTTCTACCCATCTCTTTTCAAGTTTACTTCTTATATTTCTTCCACTTTTAACTTGTTGAACTAATTTTCTGCCACATGGATCAGAATTAGTTTTAACATATTACACTTATTTTTAAAAATATTGTAAATGTATAGAATTTATATATTCAACAGTTTTCATTTTCAATAACACTGTTTCCATTGCTTCTCCAAGCCTGTGGAAGAATATAACTGCTGAAACTTTCTAATTATTCAGTCTCTTACAGATCAGTTATATACATAAAAAATTAGACAATTAATCTTCATGAAATTTAAAACAAACAAACAAAAACCTGTGATAATTCATATGTTTGGAGCTATGGTGGTAAATAGAGCTATGAACATACTGGATTTTTGTTTTTTTAAATATTGAATGTTATTTTTACATTACATATGAATGCCTTTTTGAAACTGTGACTTCACATATTACTAAAACCACTTGCAATTTCAAAATCCCCTGAATTTGCATTGAACAAGTAATTAAAGCTACTTTCTTGCATACAGCAATATCAAAGTGTTTTAAAATGGAATTGTTCAGCCTCATTGAAAGGTTACAAAGTACATATCACTATTTTGAATTCTACCACTGTGAGAACAGTCTTGTTCAAGGACACAATGTTGGTAAGTGGCTTTGCAGAAGGATAAATTTGTCTATACTTCCAAGTTGAGCGCTCACTGCAATGATGCTGAAGTTTGTAACACAAAGAGACACTTGAGATTGTTTATGTAGGTTCTAGCCAGCTAAAAAGGTTGAAATAAATGCATTGACAATTGTAAATTTGAATGATGAAGACTGAAGTCAATTCAATTTTCAGTTAAAAAAAAAACTTACATTTTGAATTGAAAGAAAGTTTGATGGATACTGAGATGAATCAAAGAAAGTACTGAATAATATTAGGTGAAGATATGAGTTAGTGACTTTAGCTCATGTTGTTAATTGTTGAGCTCCTACCTTCACACAGGCTGAGAAAGGATGGCTTCCAGGTCTTAAGAAAGCCATCCCTTCATTGTAGAAAAATTCACATCTCCAAGTTTCAAAGAAAGAATTTATAATTGTCAGTTTCCTAAAGGGAATGCTTTAAGGAAGGAAGGTCAGGACCTGAGGTCAAGAAGCCTGTCAAAAGGTGGGTCAGGTAAAGGGAAATGTTAAGACTGTCCTGGTCACGCTGCTCCTTAGATTGTTTGGATCTGGAGTGAAAATGATGTGAACCGATTACGGTTCACATATTTGCTGGGAGAATGAAGTATGCAGCAAATGTGAAGTATGCATATAGTAGGCAGACAATGTATTTCCTCGTTCTCCTATAGATATACAAAGTGTTTTAAAATGGAATTATTCAGCCTCATTGAATACAAAGTACATATCACTATTTTGAATTCTACCACTGTGAGAACAGTCTTGTTCAAGGACACAATGTTGGTAAGTGGCTTTGCAGAAGGATAAATTTGTCTATACTTCCAATCATTCCCTAAAATTCCCTTTCCTGTTCTCTATGCCAGACAGGGTCTTCATGACTTGCACTTCTTTAACATTACTTCCTCATCTTAGCTGTCCCTATCATATCCCTGCCCATCCTTCTATCCTGGCACCACAATATAAATAGACTGATAACTTTGACAAATAATAAATAAGTCTTAACAGAATCACTAATAATCCAAAATATTTCATAAGCAAGCATTTTTTCCAAATATTTAAAAACATAATTCACATGATATATAAAAACAGTAGAAAGTTTTTCAACTCCTCTTAAGACTCTGACATATATCTGAAACGTAAATTGAAAAAAAATATAGCTAAAAATAAAAGAAAAACATTACATCCATACTTTTATAAACATACATAAAACACTGAGTCAAAGAACAATTGATAATTGAAAGGAGTAATTGATGAAGTTCAAAAACGGTTGATTTACTAAATGCCTAAATATTATAAATCACATAAATATATCGTAGAATAAAAGACAGACTTTGTAAAATATTATTTAAATTATTTGATGAAACATAATATCTTTCTTTTAATTAAAAGCTCTAACTAAACTAGGATTAAGAACAACAGAGACATCTTTAATATAATAAGTGAGAATTCAAATGGGTTTGATTTACTTTTCTGATGAAGGTCTTACAAAGCTATAATCAAAGAATTGACATGGCTGGGTTTTACCTGGAGGTTTGAACAGCATCTTCTTTGAAACTCATGCATTCAGCTCCTTGAGGACGTGGGACTGAGATCCCTGGTTCTCTGTTGGATTCCAACAAAGAGATGTTCTCAGCTCTTAGAGACTTCTATTGTGGTCCCTTGAATGTGGGTCTGTATAACAAATTTAAAATGAAAATAAAGTTGTTTTTAATAAAAAGAAAACCTGTACATAATAAACCAACAAATGTACAGGAAAAAATAATCATAAATTTGGTACTTAATAAAAATAAGGGAAATCATCATAAATCTCAATAAAAAATTAAAACAACCTAACTTGCTTTTGTATCCAAAAAACAAATATAATAGAAAAATTTTTAATTTTCTAAGACCTTAAAATGGTGCCTAACTTTTGCTCAAGAAATTTTACTCCTAAGTACTTAACCCAAGGTAATGATCAAATATGATCAAATATCATACAAAAATGCAGATAAGCCCAGCATTTTTCTTTATTAATAGCAAAACTTCAACAACTTAAAATGCCCAACCCTTAAAAAAAGTTCACTGCTATAGTGGTATCCCATGCAAATGGTGACAGTTCATTCCCTTTGCCGGTTGACCAATGCAACGGTTGGGTCTTGACTGTCTCTCCCAAGCCCCGTTTCAATTCTGTGGCCACTGCCTATATCCCTAAAAAACAAATACCAAATGTCTTCTTTGATATAATGAGAGCAACTAAGAACAGAGCAGGGAGGAAGAGCAGGAAGAAAAGATTAACATT